TCACCCAAAAATGAAAATTTGCAGTTAATTTACTCACCCTCAGGCCATCCAAGATGTAGGTGACTTTTTTTTCTTCAGTAAATCAGTAAAGGAGATTTTTAGCTGAAACTTTAGTCCTTGGTGATTCATGAACCGCAAGTCAGTGTCTGCCTATATTTGAGAATATAAAAAGCATATCCAGGAACGCAAAATTAATACCCGTGGCTCCTGATGTCATGTTGAGGTCTCATGAAGCAAAACGATCAACGTGCAAGAAACCAAACATTATTTACAGCATTATTACCTGTAAAAATCATCTTGGATAGCTTGAGGGTGAATAAATTAACAGCAAATTTTCATTTTAGGGTGAACTATCCTTGTAAGAGGACAACATAAATCCCATCCAATCATTCATTATGTTGAGCATGTTGTGCCAAAAACTCCCCACAATATCCTATTTTTATGTTATGAAATCTAAGTCAGATACGACATTCACATTTTGTAAATAAAAGGGTTCGTATCCTATTTTGGGGTTCAGTAATTGGCATTCTTTAGTAAAATATGTGCTGAAAACTTTTGACTGGAAGTATACATTGATGTCATATATTTATGTATTTTACAATATTATACTGTTTTAGATAATGCTGCCAAACTCCAAGGCAAAGATCTCACTTGTAAATTGTTGTAACTTGTAACCCATGTAGCACCTCCAGCACACCAGCCCACTGATTGAGGCCTGACATTTCACCCACTCATTCCTCTGAGGCACTTCCTCTTCAGCCTCTGCCTCGGCACTTTTTGCACCAGTGCTGGTATTCTAGCCTAGCCTTTCATCCCTGTGTGCTATTGGAACATTGGAAGCATGGAATCAGGCCATATGTTCTCTCAGCACTTTAATTCTGTGCATGTCCAGTCCAGGAAGGATTACGCCGGGGTATTTATTCAAAGCTTTGTGACGTGACTGTGGCCTAACTGCATGCAGTTTGCCAGGAACGGCTATTGATCCCCTGAATGAGGGGCAGGGATCTGCTGGACATAAAATTATGAGAAATATAGCACACATGGGATATGAAGAGAGAAGAGCAGTGGTACAGTATATAGAGGGTTAACATTCCCTCTGCCTCTTAACTTGAGTTATTTCTCTAGGATTGTACATTCTTTCTTAACTGTCTGTTTATCTTTGCCAGCCTGCTGTATGAGATTCCATGGGAATTCATCACGTTTTTCATTCTGGAGATAAAGAAAGGGGTTTTAAGTCATTTGTTTTCTGTCAGTCTTCAGCTTTTCTTTGCTCTCTTCTTCTTACTCGCCTGTACACGGGTGCGGGTTATGATAACAGTAGGGAGGGTGTATCACCACACAAATGGCAGAGCAGATGGAGGGTGTGAATAGGGGAAGCTGTTTGTGTTTGTTCGGCACGCTAGGGTTGTGTAATAGTTTTCAAATCAAACAGAAGGTAAATGTGGCCTGGTTTTGTGCCCAAAGCATGTGGCTGAAATGTGTGATGCTCATGTAGGGATAGAGGGGTTGAGAACACATACAGATGAGACATAGACTGAAAGTTACGTAACTGTAGCTATGGTAAGACACGTAACCCAACAGACTGACTTTTCTGCAGGGTATTTTGATGAATTTTCAGAATCACATGTCTGAACCACGTCATCATGTTTGGGCTTCCTTAAGACCGACTAGTTGGTCTGGTGTCATTCTAAAAACCCAAAACTTTTCAATTATGAAACTATTGGTTTGCACATTATTAACCGGGACAAGATGAAATGCAGCAGAAATCAAGTGAGATTTGACCGGCTGTCTGCTCAGGCACTTGGTATTTGGTATTTAAAACTTCATCTCCTAGTTTAATGCTCCATAATCCATATTTTCCAAGGAATTGCAGAGCTCTTGGCACTCTTGTACATTCCTATGTGTGATTCATTTGAGTTCTATTTAAAAAAGAAAAAAATAACATAGCAGTTTGTAGACCATGCTCCTAATAGGTTGCACCATTTATACTGTCTCTGCTTAATGAATGGTATGGTGTGGTATGGTATGGTAAAAAAAAAATAGGAAGATAAATGTCATCACATAATACATTTTCTATAGTTTTGAAGTCAATATGAAATCAATATTGAGCATTTTAGGGCCGATTGCCTCGTGGGCAGCGTGGTACTTTCTGATTACCTCTTCCCCTCTTTTTTTCCCACATTGAATGATTCAACAATATTTTATTGTGAATGATTCATCAATGCAGATTATTCCAAAGGAAATTGTCTGTCTTTTATTAAAATGTAATAACTTGCTCCGTCTCCTGTCCCATCTAAGTAAAATGTGAAGGTAGTTTCATGTCGATGAGCAATGAGCCGTAATGAAGGTGCCATGCTGAGCAGGTCATGGCCAGTTTCATTAGCCATAATGACACATTCCTTTGAGGAAGGGAAACAGCCAATCAATTGACTCACACACTTCAGCCACATTTAAATAGCCTTTAAATGCTAAAACAGTGCTTGGCTGAATGGGAACAAACTGGTGTATAATAACAGATGACTTTATATAGAACAGTTCCAAGCAGTGTAAAACCTGTGTGTGCTGAGTTTTGTGTTTTGGTTTGGTTCTTTCCATTAGTCGTTGAGTTTGGTTTAAATGCTTGTAGACAATTGGGCTGTTTTGCATAGTTCTGAATGATGTAGCCACAGCAGCATCTATTATAAAGGTTCTGGATAATCATCAGTCAAAGGTGTGTGTAAGAATGATGAGTGGAAACCAAATATGAAAGACTAAATGATTTTCTGAAATATGTTCAAATGTATGTCATGTTTTACCCATGTTCTGTCCATCTGTATTTGTCCTCAGGAGTCGGAACCCATCTGGCTCTCCTCGTCCACGCTCAAACAGATGTGTGTGTGTGTGTGTGTGTGTGGTGTGTGGTGTGTGTGTGTGTGTGCGTATACGTGTACATGTGTTTGTGTCTATCGGTCTGTCTGTCTTTTCCCAACGCTAGTCATGTTTTCCCCTCTCTTTGCTTCAAAACAGTTTGGCACTGATGCGTTACAGTTACTTTATGCAGTGCTTTTGTATGATTCATGTGAGGATATTATATCTCTGACGGTTTGTACACAAGTACTGTGTACAGTACTGAAGACACATTTCCTGTTATCAGAACTAGTTTGTTAAAGGGGCCATGTCTTTGAGATTGTATTTATTTGTTTATTTTGTGCAATACAAAAGTTTGATGTACTATGAAAAAGAAGGATAGATATTTTTCCTAAACACCAGAAACCAGAAAGTCGTTCCATATACACTCCATATACACAGTTATACACTACTGTTCAAAAGTTTGGGAGTAAGATTATCAACAAAATAAAGCAAGGATTCATTAAAGGATGCATTAAATTGACCAAAAGTGACAGTGAAGACATATGGTACAAAATATTACATATGATTTCTTTTTCAAATGAATGCTGTTCTTTTGAACTTTCTATTCATCATGGAATGTTGTATCAAAAAATGTACCACAGTTTCCACAAAAAATATTAAGCAGCACAACTGTTTTAAATAGAAAATTGGCATATAACAATGATTTACGAAGGATCATGTGACACTGAAGACTGGAGTACTGATGCTGAAAATTCAGCTTTGTGAATATTTTAAAATACAATACAGTTTCATATTTCAAATCATATTTCACAGTATTACTGTTTTTACTGCGCCTTTGATGCATTTTCGTCTGAGCTTAACCATTTTAGTAGCATATTTTGATGCAAATTGGTTTAAAAAACTTTGCACAAGTTTTACTGAAGAATGCTAACTATATTGAACCCCAAAATAGTATATGAATACTTAAGTTACAAAATATGAATTTCATTTATTTGACTTTAAATAAAAGTATAATTCAATATTATGGTGAGTTTTGGCATAGCCCACTCAACATAAGGAATGGCTGGATGGGATTTGTGTTGTTCTCTTAAGGAAGTGGTTGTTCTCTGTGAGATCTGGCCTCATTCCATCTGAGGAACGACGACTATGTTTACTAAACCCCATTATAAACTGCCCCAAATAGACAGCGGTCCATATTTTCCGCTTGTGTTCCCAGGCTTTGGGTTTTCACACACAAATACGCACATACCTACTCACATTAACAGGGTCACAGACAGGACTGGGGGCGGGTGAATAAAACCGATAAGCCTGATGTCCAGTGGCTTATTTATGGAATAAACACAGATACTCAGTGTAAAAAAAAAAAAAAAAGGCCAGCTGTAGACTAATAACTGTTCCCTATAAGAAACAATGGGCCACTGTTCCAGAATTCACCATAATATCCTGTTTATAATGCAATTTAAATAAATTGATATGGGTCTAAACAGACCCATATCCTGTTTTTGGGTTCAATTTAGCATTCTTCAATAAAACCTGTTTAAAATGTAATAAACAATCTGAAAAGCTGAATCCACTGTTTGCTTGTATGTTGGTTTTCTTAATGGAGACATTTCATTTGTGAATTTAAAATTACTCTTGTTGAAATCCATTAATTCCAAAATTGATATCTGAGATATAAATGGAAATCCATCCCAGAAATCTCTAGAAAATGATTCAATTAATTGCCTTGACTCACACTTAATGTTATTTCTGGAGACATTTCTCCACTGTCATGTGACCTTTGACGAAAAAAAGCGTCAGAAAAATCCTCTAGGCTGCTGCGGCAGACCCTCAGTTTCATGTTAACTGCCATTTTACCACCCTTTCACATTTCTATGGTTAAAATGCAGTCACATAACCATAGCTGACACAGACACCACCCCACTTCCTGTGTGTTTGTGTGAAGAAGTGAGAGAGAAGTGTACACTGAGGCTGTTTTAGCTCTGTGTGTGTGCTGATGAGGCAGTAGTGTATTTTGAAGGCTGCCTCTGGTGTCACAGGTGTTGTGTTTGTTCTCTGAATGTACTGAAATATTAGTGTGTCATTTATGTTATGAAGTGTTGAGTTGACCTGTGTGTGTAATGTTGACTAGTTTGTGTTCACCACTGCAGGATCGTGCTTATCTGCGCCAAAAGGTCTTTGTGTGCCGCCTTCTCTGTGCTGCCGTATGGAGAGAGCTTTCACATCAGGTACTCATGAAACAAACACGAAAATCTGCTTATTTAAATCAAAGGTCAGATTTGGTGATACAGTATAGGGTGATGCTAAGTTGGGTAGATTCACTCAGTCATGCTTAATGCAAAAGTATAAACAAGGCATTGAATCTTGCAATTAGCTGTCCTAATGATTTCTGATGTCTTTTACGAAGCTGTCTCTCTCAAGTTGACTGGTCATGGGAAGGATTCTGGTGCGCCCCTCAGCCAGTCTGAGCCTTGAGTGTAGTTTGATTCAAACAGTTTATTTAATGAATCAGCCAAAAAGACTCTAAAAACTAATGAGTGTTCAGTCAGGCTAATCAGGGCTAATCTAATGACTCACTCACTTAATGAACCGGTTGTAACAGTTCTTGACTAACTCACTGAAACATTCAATATTACTTTTGCCAACTCAAAATGAACAGAGAACTGTTTGTATTATGTACAGTAATGGCTGTAGATTGACTGTAAAAGACTGTTTATTCATATATATGTAGTATAGTTAAAGTTGGCATGAAATTAAAGTTTACTGTTTTTCAATACAGATTTACCCAGATTCATTTGTGCCTGTTTGAGATATATATATATATATATATATATATACTCTTTTAAGGGCCACCTAGAATCACGGCACCTTTGGCTTTGTAAGTTTTTTTTATTTTATACAATATGTATGTGTGTATGTATGTATGTGTGTTAGTGCTGTCAAATCGATTCATCGTGATTCGTTGAATCCAAAGTAAAAGTTTGCTATATTTATTTATTTATTTATTTATTTATTTATTTATTTTAAAGCTCATTCTGATTCTGATTTTTTACATGGCCTAATTTTATTTATTTTTTTTTTATCTGTTTTACTCGGATGTATGTCACAATACGGAAGAAAAGATCTAAAATTAGATCCATTTTATCACAACTTTAAACATTTGCGTACACTTAATAAGTTACCAAAAAGTAACTTTAAGTCTTTCCTTACATTTGTATATTTCTTGAATAGTTAGCAACAGTTATTCACCTAGGTGTGACTGGGTTCAAATAATACTATACAAAAATATACTAATATAGTAGGAGACTCGATGGAATCATTAAGGTTGGAGAATTGTTCAGTCGAAAAATTGGAATCAGAATTAAAATTGAGATTCCCATTCCTAGCCGTTTTCCTAAATCTCAAATAGACACATATACACAAGGAGATATGTTAAGTTGAATATAAGGTCAGTTTGGTTCCTCTGCTCTCAGGGGATTCATATCCAGGGAGAGGTTCAAGGCAAATGGGGCAGGAAGGAATTTTTCCCACATCCCTGAGCTGAGCCTGGCATGACACGGCCAACAACCTCCTCTCCTTTCCCACCCTCTACATTATTGTTCCATAAAATGATGAAATAAGGAATTGGACCATGGGAAACTTTGTCTTTTAAGTTACATTTTTTGAAAGAGAGAAGAAATTAAACAGCCATGTTATGCAAGCGGTATAAGACTGTAGATAAGGAATGCTAGAGGGAGTGAATACATGTGTGTGTGTGTGTGTGTGTGTGTTCAGTCAGTGCTTAAAGAGCAGCGCTGTACACAACATGCTCAGCTACTTCAATCTGGAAGGAAAAGCAAATAATTGGGACATCAGGTTGAATTTGAAGCTGTCTGTATTAGGTGAGTTAGACTTGTGTGTGTTGATAATTGAGTGTTGAATTGGCTCTGTGTTTGAACTTTTCTAAGGCTTCATGTTTTCAATAAAGAGTCAGTAAAAATCTGTCTGCTGCTCTTTCAACCAAACAACATTAAATTTAATGAGCTAACATGTCTTTTCATCTTGTTTAGGTTTGGGAAATACTGCAAGGCTCATCTTAGGGGCTTTTATTTTTAAATATCCAACAGATTTTATTGTATGTCGCAGTTAGTCAGAAGTAGGTGGTATTAAGGGGAAAGACAGTCTAGAAAGGGACATTTTAAATTCACATATCAACTAAAATAAATGATTTTAATAAATGATATCAAACACATAGATGATCTCAGAGCTGTTAGACATGGACTTAAAGCCACAAACCTCCAATTTCATACGCTTTTCATATGCAAACACTTTGCAGCACTTGTTTATCTCTGAAGGTCAATTATAATTTTAATTCAGCTTTCTTGCACTAAAAACAGTCATACATTTACCTTTAAGGCTTCTGCAAATGACCTCAGTTAAGCTTAACTAGCCTGGAAATTGTGTAAGATTTGCTCTTAATCAGGGTTTCCCAAACTGGGGTTTGTGACTGAGTTGATAATTAATTAAATGATAAAAATGTCAAATTAAATCATTTTAAAATGAAAGCGATCAAAATAAAGAACTTTTCTAACAAAAGTTAAAACATTTTATTTTTAAAAGTGCATGTCATGTGACCATTATCCGACATCAGAGAGCGATAATGACAAAAAATTATATCTCAATATTTTGTCGATAACAATAATAGCCGATATTTTGCTGAGCATGTTACTGTGCTGGTACTTTGGCAGGTTTAGGACTGCCATGGACAGCTGACTCCCAAAGCTTTTGATATTCTTCATATTCTGTGCAGTGGTTAGTTTGCAGGAGTAACAGAAATTCACTTTTCCATGGGCATTTTATAAGGCAGATTTTTATATATATATATATATATATAAAAATCCTAATTAAGTGTATGTATCAACTTTTGTGTCAAACTCTTAAATTTAATCAATAAATTCAAAAAGTAAGACACTATAGGGCTGTTATTAACAAAATTTGTGCTTGCAAATGTAGACGTTGCACAAACATTATTTGGATAATGTTTAAAAAAAAAAAAAAAAAAAAAGTTCAATACTCGTATTTGAAACGAAAGGGAAAATATACTTTAACTATAAACCTAAAATCGCCGGTAGGTGGCGGCAAATTGCTGCATGAGTGAGTCATTGAGTCATTCATTCAACGGATTCATTCAAACGGCTGATTGATTCAGTTTGAAACTATTTTCCTATTTAACTTATTGTTCATTGGACTGTTTTATAAAATCAATATCACATTTGCAATCGTGCTGATATTTGGAGAAAAAAACTGTACTCTTCGTGTGATATTAACTATATCAGATGATATAAATATAAAAGACATATAAAAGTAATACGGGGGCATATTGTATTTGCCCCTTTATCTTAAATTTAGGGGGAATTCTGAATGTATTTTAATAGACTAAATCACGCAGTGAAAGTGTGAACTCTAAATGCATACGCGCAGTAGTCTAACCTACATTTCACAGTGTATGCATGCATATTTGTGATATACTTGATAATGTCAAATTGCATATCATTTAAACAACAATTACGACATTATCGTAGACAATATATATCGCACACTATTCCAAACCCATAAGACTTTGGTTAATCTTCGAAACTCAAATTAATGATTTGGATTAATTTTTATGACATTTTTGGATCTTCTTAGTTGTGGTACCTGGTCTTTCAATAGAGGGACAGAAACCTCAGGTTTCTTTCAAAATATCTTGATTTATATTTACAAGATTAACCAAAGTGTTATGGGTTTGGAACAGCATGAGTAAATGATGACAGAAATTTTGAGTTGACTATCCCTTTGAATTATTGATATATGAACATAAAATCGCAGGGTGTACTTTAAGTACTTTTTTAGGTTGGGAATCGGCTGACAAATAAGTTTGAGCATCCTTGTTCTCAATTTTGTATTTAATAAATGAAAACAAGCATCTGTCAATCTGTCTTTCTGTCAGTGATCCTCGTCTGGATGCTCAGCGGCGGAGGCACTCATCTGGAGGAATATCCACCACCCTAGAAATGCTTCCCGGGCTGGAGGGGGTGGAGCTGGGCATGTACGGCAGGGTAAGAGCTTGTCATTCTATCCCTGCACCTGTCAGTCAGTCAGTCAGTCAGGAAATGTCACAATGTCACATTGTGCTCAGCGTACCACTCGACCTGCTCCGCAATGACAGCTTTATATCTCTTCATTTGATGCACCCAGAAGGTTAAAAGTGCTGTTAGGATGTCTCAGGCTGACAGACGGCTTGTTATGATCTTATTTGTTGTGCAGACGGTGTCGTACGCTCAGTTTCTGTACCCCACTAACGCTCTGGACTGCCACAAGCCCTCAGTGGATCTTGCTCTACCCATGCCCTATTCCAGAAACAGCATCCCTTGCAGTTATCCTCCCTCTCGCCTTAACAGCACCGTCGGCCTGGACCTGGGTATGTCACACACACACACACAGACACACACACACACAAACTAGTACACCTAGACTTTTGAGGACCTCCCGTAGACATATATTGTCCTCAAATAAGCTTAATGTTTGCAGACTTACCCTAACGCTACTCATTACAGAAACTTCTTGGTCTTATTTGGTATTACTTGACCAATTTAGATATGTTTTTACTTTTTAATAGTGAAAATATATACACTACCATTCAAAAGTTTGTTTTTGAGCAAGGATGCTTTACATTGATCAGATGTTACAGGAAAGACATGTAAAATGGTACCAAAGATTTCTGTTTCAAAAAAAATATTGTTATTTTCCTTCTATTCGTAAAAGAATCCTGAAAAAATATGAAACGGCACAACTGTTTTCAGCATTGATAATAATAAGAAATGTTTCTTGAGCAGCAAATCTGCATATTAGAATGATTTCTGAAGAATCATGTGACACTGAAGACTGGAGTAATGATGCTGAAAATTCAGTTTTGCATCACAGGAAGAAATTACATTTGAAAATCTACTACAATAGAAAATAGTTATTTTAAATTGCAATACAAATTTGCAATATTGCTGTTTTTACTGTATTTCTGATCAAATAAATGCAGCCTTGGTGAGCAGAAGAGACTTCTTTGAAGAACTGAAAAAGTAATTTTTGGCCGAAATGCCAAAACTAATATTTAAGTTTTCAGATAGAATATTTAAGTTAGTGGAAAAAAACTAAACCAAAAATTACGTTTTGGCAATTGAATTTTAAGATTAGATTTCGTGATTCAATTTGATTCCAATTCACAAGCTCTTAATTAGATTCTCAATTTAATTCAATTCGACATCAGTTCATATGTATATGTATCAGGTACAGTACTTGTCAGTTTTTCTTAAGGAAAAAAATCTTTCAACTAAAGCTTTGAACTATACAGATAATCCTGTTAGTCCAAAAGTCCAAGTCCAAAAATTAACAAGCACACAGGGCAGTTTTTATATCAACTTTTTAATTATGTAATTATGCTTACACTCCAATTCATTGTTGAAATTTAATAATTTAATTCATTTATAAAGTTTATTTTGAATTTTGTAATAAAATTGACAGGATTTGAAATCTCAGAATTTCTTTCATATCAAAAGTAACAAAGTTTATTGTGATTATGGGATGGCATGTGCGCTATAATAAAGGTTTAGCCAAGTTTTATTCATACATCAAAAAACTAAAATTGTGTGTGTTTTATATATAAATATATAAATTGTGTATGTTTTATATATATATATATATGTACACACACACATGCACGTAGCAAACCAATGACACACACATACTTACTCTGTTCAGTTCTGTAACCACTTAAATCTCAGCCACACTGAAATCTGACAACATCTGTAACTCTTTTCTATAACAGATTCCTTTGCATGTGACCTTTTTTGACTTTGTTAAACTTTAGAAGTGTATGTGTGTTGTAACGCCTAAAAGCATTTTAACGATAATTCCGGACTGTGGAGACACTGAAATTCTCTTTCATTCATGTCTAAATGGTGAAATTAAATCACACAAGCATGTAACACATACACCCTCAGAAAACAAACACACACTCATACAAGTAAGTGTGTAGTAACTGATGGGAGCATAATAAAGATTTTAATGCTGTATTATTCACAGAGTGGGTAGGGACATTTCAATCAACTTGGTAGACATGGTTATTATCACAGTATTTCAGGCACAGATGTGTGTGTGTGTGTGTGTGTGTGTGTCATAATTACTGATGCTGCTATTCCTGTATTCTAATACTTGAGTGTGTGTGAGTCATCAACTCAGCTCTCTGTATTCTTGTACCTTATTTAGTAAGCCTGCATTAGCAACGCATGTGTCAGAGTGTATCGCTGATTGTACATACTCAGTACTAATTGCTATTTTTACGTGTGTCGCCTTAAAGGAAACGTTAAGCCAAAAATAAAAAGTATCAATATTTACTCACCCTGGCAGGTGACAGACGTCTCATTTTTGTAATACAGCTATGCCTAGTCAGTGCAGAAAGATGCTTTCACCATCATCTCAAAACCACGCTTGTACATGCTACTTTCAGTTGTGTTATCTGTAGTTTGATTGGCTCACTTGACAGCTATGTCCTTCTGTGTGTTTTCTTTTTTCAGGCCTTGAAGACCCTGACTATGACCCTAATGTGCTCAGTGACCCACGGTGGCCATGTGGAAAACACAAAAGAGTGCTCATCTTTGCCTCATACATGGTGAGAGAAGGCTAGCTGTGCATTATTCCGCTTATACCATGGTCATTTGCCAGCATTGACAAGTTAAAGCTGTTAATGATGTTTGCAGCGCAATATTGGTTATTTTCGTCAGTTACGGCACGTTAGAACTAGCATTCTGCCTGCTTCAAATCAGACACAGAGATAAAGTGGTGCAGTAAGATCACATTTATTTGAATGAATTATAGTATTTAAATTAATTATTGAGGGAGAGAGAGAGAGAGAGAGGGGGAGGGATAAAAGTTACATGTGTGAATTCTGTCTGTGCATCTCTCTCTACAAACAATGAAGCTGTGAGTTTAGTTAATTCAAATACAGTGATTTTACCTCCTTATTGCTGAGAAATATAATGTAGCGACTCCGTATCGAAGCTATTTTATTAACAAAAGTCACAGGGCAGCGCTGACAAGTTTCTTTGCTGCTGAATGTTTCTGTGTGTAGCGTGATCTCCAATCTCTCTCTCTCTCTGTGTGTGTGTGTGTGTGTGTGTGTGTGTGTGTGTGTGTGTGTGTGTGTGTGTGTGTGTGTGTGTGTGTGTGTGTGTGTGTGTGTGTGTGTGTGTGTGTGTGTGTGTGTGTGTGCGTTAATATAGAACGGTGATTAAACTGACTTGGAACTACCTGTGCATTTAACGGTTTTATTGCATACCTGACAGCCAATCAGAATCGAGTATTCAGACAGACCACTGTATAAATATGGATATATATATGTATATATATATCATACACATATATTCATTTTTTTTACCTTTTCACCCCAATGTCAAAAAAAGAAAGAAAGAATATTTTAATTTCATTTAAATAGTTTCATAAATTTATAGGTACAATTTAGACCATTTTGTCCCCAAATTCTCATTACAGTAAAAAGCTCTGGACATTAAGTGCATTTTTGTAGATCCAGGTATTGTCAAATATTATATATCACTTATGATATTAATTACATTACAACCACTGTTATATATTTCTTTTCTTTGTTGAATATGACCTGACTTGTTTTTAAAAGGTTTCTTTAAATCATACCACATAACACAGCTGCTCAGCCATTTAGCTATTCACAGATGTATGTTTGTGTTTTGGGATGTTTAATGCAGCCCAGTTTGGTCTTGTTTCTTGTTTTTGGACATTAATTTACCCATCAGACACATATGTGGGGATGAATGGCTATCTGTGTGATTAAGCCCCTGCTGAAAGCAGGGTGGTCTGACCTATAGACATGGATAAACATAACTTATCCAGCTGACGTCATTACTGACACTGGATAATACTGCTTATACACTTGCGGTGGACTGTAAAAAAAAGATTTTTCAAAGCTGATTGTCTTACTAATGTAAATTCTCTGTTTTTACTGTCACTCTTTCTCTCGCTGTGGTTCTCTTACAGACAACAGTAATAGAGTACGTCAAACCGTCAGATCTGAAGAAGGACATGAATGAGACCTTTAAGGAAAAATTCCCCCACATCAAACTCACACTGAGCAAAATCAGAAGGTACACTGACATTTTAAATGTTATTTTATTTCCGTAACTGTTTACATGCAAAGGAATATTCCTATGTTAATCAGAATATGGTGATATTGTTATTATGTATGCAATAACCGGTTTAAACCAAACTTTTTCAAAAGACAGCTTAAAACCTTATGAAAACTAACTGAATAAAGTACAGTTACATTTTAAAGTACTTAAGTTACATTTGTGCACGAATATGACTATGGTCTTTTGTCGTCATTGTCATCTGTTCTCTTTATGTCTCCCAACATCTCTGTCCTTCCCTCTCTTCATCAGTTTGAAGAGAGAAATCCGCTCAGTGGGAGAGGAGTCTTCTTTGCAGCCGGTCACCATAGCGATGGCATTTGTGTACTTCGAGAAGCTGGTCCTACAGGGGCGTCTCAACAAGCAGAACAGGAAGCTGGTGGCGGCTGCGTGCCTCCTACTCGCCGCCAAGATCAGCAGCGACTTGAAGAAACAAGAGGTCAAACAACTGATTGATGTGAGTGATGCTCTGGCACACATTCTAGTCAACACACATACACTACAGTTCAAAAGTTTGGAGTTGGGAAGATTAGTCTCTTCTGCTCACCAAGGCTGCGTTTATTTAATGAGAAACATTAGTAATATTGTGAATTATTTTTACAGTTTAAAACAACTTTTGTATTTGAATATATTTTAAAATGTAATTTATTCCTGTGATGGCAAAACTGAATTTGCAGCATCATTACTCCAGTCTTCAGAGTCACATGATCCTTCAGAAATCATTCTAATATACTGATTTGATGCTCAAGAAACATTCTAATTATCATTGTTGAAAACTGTTGTGCTACTTCATATTTTAGTGGAAACTGTGATTAAAATAAAAAACTGGATTCTTTGATGAATATAAAGTTCAAAAGAACAGCATTTTTTTTTATCAATTTACTGCCTCCTTGCTGGATAAAAGTAACATTTCCTACTGACCTCAAACTTTTGAATGGACTTGTACAAGCATTTAATAGAGCAAAACAAATAGAGATGAAATGCTATATTGGCCAAGACAATTAATTGGTTGGTGTGTTAAAATTTTCATATGTTGATTAAGTAAAAGTGTCAGGCCAAAATACACTCACCCTGTCAAAGTTGTCAGTGTTTGTATATCTATCTATATCTAATGTATATCTATTTGTTTTTCTTTGTCCCCAGAAATTGGAGGAGAGGTTCCGGATTAGTCGTCGGGAGCTGATTGTTTTCGAGTTCACCATCTTGGTGGCTCTAGAAATGGCACTTTACCTACCGGAGAGTAAAGTCATGCCCCACTACCGCAGGCTGGTGCAGCAGACCTGACGTGGGTAGAGCGGAGGCTCAGGGCCGTCGTGAATATGCAGATGAGATGCGTAAAGCAGCCGAAAGTGTGGGACTCTGCGTTCCCACCATTGCAGTTTGAGGTATCAGAGCGAATACACATCAACACGAAGCTCTAAGGAAGAACTGACGTTCCAAATGATGCTTTTTATAGCAATCTGGCCAGCGGCATTTTTTTTTTTTCGTGGCTATCTGTTTTTGTGACCACCATGGGAATACTGCTGAGAAAAACAGCACGGATCTTCTTTTGTTGAAAACAGAAGGATTTAACACTCAAACGTCAAGGGAAGAGTTTAACTCCTAAATTGTACAAGTGTGCATGCATGTTTTTAACATTCCGTATCTATTTACCAAAAATAACTTTTATTTAATTTAGACCTGTCCTTTTGTATAGAACAACCTAGCATTCACTGTAACACTAAAGCACTTTAATATATATATATATATATATGTGTAAACCTTATGCAATAATAATATAGTCATTAGCACAGATTACATATTATACAGTATATGCACTTACTTTAGTAGCATACTCAGAAAGTGTTATTGAGTGACTGACTAAATCTACCTTAGTATTCAAACCTAGTATGTTCATTGTCATTGATAAGGCTTGATTGTACTGTGAATAGTGCTCTATATTAGAGCTGATTTCAAGAAAAGCACATTTTCAGTGCTGCCATGGTGTTCTCACGTTTTCTTTTTTTTGTATAGAATAAAAAAAAATCGTCCTTTTTTAATTCCACAGAAGAAAGTCATGATGTAAATGTGTAAAAGATGACCGATTTTTTTTATTTTTAGGTGAACTATTCTTTTAAGACGTCATCATGGCATTATATAATCCATTTAAAAGTATTTTTTGAAAGAAATGTATACTTTTATTCAACAAGGTTGCATTCAATTGATCAAAAGTGATAAAGACATTTATAATCTTACAAAAGATTTCTATTTCCAACAAATCCTGTTCTTTTGAACTTTCTTTCAGAATAGAATCCTGAAGAAAGGTAGAACACAAAATAAAAAAGCAGCAATTGTTTTCAACATTGATGATAATAAGAAATGTTTGTTGAGATTTAGAATCATTTCTGTAGGATCATGTGACCTGCATTGCAGGAATAAATTCCATTTTAAAATATAATAGAAGAAACAATAGAATAGAAAACTGAAATTGTAAAATATTTCACAATATTACTGTTTTTGTTGTATTTTTAATCAAATAAATGCAGCCTTGGTGAACACATATATATATGCTAATGTCACTGTTTATTCGTTAATTGCAAACAAAAAACATTTTGTTTTCTGTCTCAATTTCTCATTGACAACTAGTAACATGACCATGTGGCATACTGTATCATGATTTATCCGAAATGTTTTCCAGCACCCACGATCTATACAATATTTTAGATGCTTTTTGTTCCATTTACTCACAAAACATCCCTTTCTCAATTTAATTCATTCATGTCGGCCTGATTTATGTTTCAGTGCAGACACTCTCTGTTAACGCTGTGTGAAGAGGTTGTGTTGTGTGTCAGTAGCCCATGTGGTGGCAGTTGCTTTGTCCTTTATAGACTGATGTATTTTACATACTGTAGTCTCAATCAATACATCCTTATATTTACTTACATGATATGCTGGTAATGTTGTCCACAAATGTCTTTCTTATATTTCTATGATGGTATTCTTGAAATAAGGCATTATTTTCCAGTAATATAGTGTGTTTGATCAAATATTGTGCTAAGAAAGCACTTCTGAAGCAGTGAGTATGCTAGATCCTCCCTCTAGAGGAAGCCATTTGCAATCACAAGTCATTAGGAAAGCTGTCAGGAAGTGGATTTTGCTACATAACAAGCATCCAACTCATGTACTCAGGAGATATTTGTAAATCACACATGAATTGGACATTTTTCCAAGCCTTTGTTTTAATGTGTGTGTACTTTTTTTGTGATCGAGAGCCCATGAACAAACTGAAATAGCAGGTTTTATGAATATAAAATAAATTGTACACACATTGAATTAAAGTGCCTAGGATTATTTTTTTTTTTTTTTTTTTGTAATGAATAATTTGATAAAGAGAGAAAATGGAAGTAAAGCAGTTCTATTTAGTTTATTTACACTGTGATTTTTCTATAGCCTCCAATACTGCACTCTGAAGGCAAAACACAGTAATTACATCAATTGAAGGGTATTGTTATCATTTTTGTTTTGAAATAAATTTTAACGCGCAGTTTTCTTTGAATCTGAGCATGGTTGAGCCATACATGTCTGTCACTGGACAGATCATATTCTAACAGACCCGATTTCAATCATAACTGAATTTCATAACTATTTTATTTTTGTTGCGTTACGTTTCAGTTGTGTCTTTGCCTACAGTACCACTGTGGTTTATTTGAAAGGTCAGAGGTGAAGGAGAGCAGATCCTCAAAAGAATAGGAAATGGATATCATAAAATAAATTACCTCTGATCTCTTCCGTGGAGTTCAGCAGATTTAGCTAATCTTCCATTTATGAATTATGATAGGAAGGCTGGGAATGACACCAGCAGCAGATAAGGCATACGACCTTGAGGACAGCTGTGCTT